CAACAACAGTGGTAATAATGTGGTGCCAATTTTCCAGTCACTATTTACACATTATTCATTTAAATTCAATCTGCATTTATTTATTTATACAATTTACATTTCATGTTTCTGCATGTTAATTAAGTCAGACAATGAACTATGACGTCTGTGGGTCTTATCTTAAATCAACTGCTAACGTACATCAATTGCTAACGTACATGATGGCCATAGTCAAACCATTATTAATTTTATGACACTTCACCAGCCATGTGATCTGCTGTAATATACGGTATATTGTATACCAATCTTTTTGATTTCATAAAGAGAATATTACCATGTAATACAGTCAGAATGTAAACTAGCAGGATTTTTTAAAAAAAATCTTTTTTCTAATATATATGGAGAAATTAATGCCACCTGCATCCTAATTTTGCACATACAAATCAATAGCCAAATTGAAATTCAATTTATATTTAAAGATTCATATTTTTCTGAGTTTTGCAATGTCATGTACGATGATGAATAAAATACAAATGCATATAAAATATGAAAACAATAAAAAGTAGTACATTTGTGAAAATTGCTTGCAAAAATGGCTATGTCAGATTATGTATACATTAGGAAAAATACATACAAATTTTTGTGCAAACTTCTTTTAACACATTCTCAAACTTACACGAAAACATGACAAAATAAATTTCAACTGGAGAAATAAAAAAGAGAAACTGGAATTGACAGATTCATTCATCCTCTTACCTACAGCATTAGGGTTGGAATATCATGGGTAAGCATGATTGAAACTGGATGTTTTCAGATATGGTGTAAGGAGACTTACAACTCCTAGAATTCCCAAGGCAGATATCTGGGAATTCTGAAAGTTGGTCTCAAACACAGTAAGTTCTGCAACAGGAGCAGGTAGGGATCCATAATATTCTCCACTGTGTAGTCACAATCTTTAGAACCACAGAAACCTGGCTTATGTTGCATCACAGCTAACAACCATGCTCGTTTTTCGCTAGGGTCTACTAGGTGACGTAGCATTAGGTAGAGCGAGGGTAGCTCCTTCGTGTAGTGAAAGCTGAAGGGTGGGGAATAGCGCAGAACTGGAGGAGAGTTCTGGCTATCTTGCAGACTGCCTTGCATCCCCTATACCAAGATGTAACTAGCAATATTGTCTTGATGCAAGTGTTGAAGCGCAATTCAGTTGCCGTCCAAATGACATCTGCATGTGGAATGGGGAAGCAATGTCTTGTCCTTCACCTCCAGCAGCCAAAATATCTTGGGCCGGCTGTGCCCTTGGCTCAGCCTCAACAGTGAAGCAAAGCCACAAGTCACAGCATTGCTCTGGCAGATGAAAAAAGCACTTGATTCTCCACAGACTCTTGCTGGCACAAGAGGCCAAAGGATCAGGCCATTCATTTCCAACAAAACAAGGCTAGAAACATTTGGGGATTCTGGTGTGGAATATCACAATAAGGTATTGTTTTACCATAAGAGAGAAAGAGACATAGGTGAGCTGAAAGCTCAGAATACTAAAAAAAAATATTATTTGCTCTTCAATTTTCTTTTACTAGTATTATTATGCAGAGAAATGGCTGAAATGATAACAGTGGTGAGAAAATCTAGCATCTTGAAAGAGTAACAGCACACTTTGACAATACTTTTACGCAGCCCCTCCACATCCTCCTTATTACATCAATTACCAAAACCTGGTGTTTGTTTAATGAGATCATTCCAGGGCCTCAGAAGGGAATATTTCAATCTGCTAATGCCTGAATAAGGCGCAGAAAATTGTTAGCTACTAATGCAGTGAATGATGTGTGTGTGTGTGTGTGTTTGTGCATCTCATTCCAATGGCAGAGCCTATTGTATTTACCTGTATGATGCAGGTTCTCTGCTGGCATTATTTTCTCATGACTAAAGGGTTGAACTAAATTTTTTAATTTACTATTTCATATTCATCATTTAAAAAAGAGAGAGAGAGAAGAGGAAATATGCATTTTGATGAGCATATTTACATAAATCATTTGCTGGAATATCCTAACACTAAATGCTCAGAGTCGAAGCCCTCAAACCATTTGCATACATGCTTCTCTTCTGACGTGAAAATATTGGCGTTTTGGATTTTCATCGAAAAGCCTGGCTGCGCGGGAACTCTAATGGGCTTAGAACAGTAAATTTTGAGGAAACTGATTGCTACCCCTGTAGCTAGTCAATGTCTGCCTAGACCCAGTGGCATTTGAAAAAAGTGTTTTATCATAAAATTATCCCAGCAGAGTCCATTCTGCGAGATAACATCATCATCATCACCATCACCATCAGGACTCCATGCAGGACCCGGCAGCTCTGGCACAATATTGCCAGTCATTTATCTGTTGTCAGCACAGGTTACACACTGTAATCCTTGACTGCCTCGGAATTAGAATGTCTTTGATGTCCCCACAAGAGTTTTTGCCTGAAGGCTTTACCAATGCTCAGCAGCTCAGTGTTTATTCCTCGTAATCTTCCTCTCATCTCCAGGCTAGCAGTGACAGATGGTTATGGGCACACAATAGTATTAAGAGTTTGATATTTTTTCCCCCTTTTTTATGCTGTGCTCTCTGTACAACAAATAGCTATCAGACGCGGGCCAGAGAGCTGACATGGCTCGCTTAGGTAATGGCAAACAAACAGCTCGGGTTGATGCTTTCTGTCATTTTCCCTGCTAACCCTGCTTGTTTTCATTGTATACTCTCAAAGGTAAACTATATTAACCTTATAGACGGTTATTAAAAAGATATATCTATATGAGCATAAAGTGCCTTTTTCCCCCCTCTCTTTTTCCTCACTCTTTTGATTATGAAAGTAATACTGCTGACATATTGAACAAATATCGAATGTCAACATAAATTTTTAGCATGTGATAATATTCCCCTTCATATAGCCGTGTGTCAGGCGGGAACCCGTGGATGATGCATAGCAGTAAATAACCCAAACAAAATTAGTTCTCTTGTCAGCTTCTACCTTGTATGTCCCCAGGCATCAGTAAAATTGACTGCACGCTAGATTTTCAAAATTAGCCCTAATGTTAGCTGTGTGTCTGGCAACCTCCAAGTTTCCAATGTTCTACTATATTACCCGTAAGGATGAATGTGTTACTTTTATATTTTGGCATTTGATCTTGCTGATGTGGCTTCTCCTCTACTCCAAATTAAAAATAATTTAACAATAAGAACGTGCGCAAACAGAAGTCTGCATCTCTTTAAGCGACTAACTTTCGGCAACTAAATTAAATTAAACAAAACAAAAACCTAAAAATATACAGAAGGAAAAGGAATGATTTCAGTGAATATTGCTCATTTCATTAATTTAGCTCTGTGCTCCTTTATGCAAAAGGCATAGCAATTAGGGGGTATGTTTTCCTTTTCACTTAACCTGCAGTTTATTTATTTATTTGTTTTTTGAAACCATGGTACCTGGGGGGAAAAAACAAAACAAAACAAATCCAAGATCTATATTTTAAAAGAAACCTTACAATCCATAAAAGTTTCAGCATGTATCTTAATATAGCCGTTTATCATGAGAAAAAAGCCCTGATATTAGATTTATGAACGTCACTCTTCTAATCACCAATGGAGAGGCAATCGATACATGTCACAAGCACACCACGTTGTAAAATAGCCTATGAGAATACAGCATTTGTGAGCTAATGGCAATTAAATTTGACTAAAAACGAATGTAGCTCCCCGAGAAGCATTATGTGAGAAGTGTGAAGTTGATTAAACAAATCCAAAGACAGGTTCCACATCGACTTCCAACCCCTAAATTTTATGTTCAGACATTTGGAGTCAAAGATGAAATCCCTTTAGGTACCAGATGTTGCAGATCATCTGGGAGAGCTTCTGGAGTTTTAATGTGTTGGAAGTCAAATCCTCTGCAAAGGCGATTTGCCCTGTCGGTGTGGGGCACTTATTGCTTCACCTGCAAACAGTTGCTCTCAGAAAAACCTGACCTACTGATCGACCCAGCATCTCAGAAATAAACACAGTCTAATCTGTGGATAAAGTGAACTCTAATCAGGCCACATGCAGATTAAACCAACTGTGAGGGAAAAAATACTAGATTAAAATGTTCGTGCCCAATACCGGGAGATTATCAGGACACTTTACCTCTTTAAATCCTAATTTATGGTAGGAGTCAAAGTTTATATATTTGTCGTGATTACGTGGCAGGGTAGATTTACTTCAGTTCAGAGAAGATTTGGTGATCAAGTCAACAGCTTGAAAAGCAGCCTATTCCATTCCCTCTAAGCCTACATATAAACATGCTGTTTTTTTTTTTTAAACCTGGAAAGGTAGATTTTTATTTAAATATTATTTAAATTTATTTAAATTTTATTTTAAAAAATGAAGATGCAAGTAGCATAGTGTGGTCTTGAATATTAACACCTAGTCAGTCACATTAGGATAATTAAGATTTTTTAAATAGCACTGCATATTAAACATCATTAGTGGACAGAACTGCTTTCAAGCAGGATTTTCAGCAGTTTTCATATTTTTAGTGTCATGCCTATGTTTCTTGTCCACATATGGATGCTCAGTCCCCCTCCCCCTTTTTTTTTTTTTTTAAATTCTGGTGATGTTCAGCATTTCATTCTCTAAGCAACTACTGAATTGTGGAGTCTTTGGTGTTGTCTGAGCTTGGTTTCTTGCTTGCAGACATTCCATTACCCGGCTAGGTAACATCTTCAGTGCTAGTGAGTGTGGGGTTTTCTCCCTGGTTATATACAGTAGCTTGCCCTGCCAGTGTTGGGGTGTGTATGGTTTTCTCCTTGGTAATTCCTTGATTAGGGTATTGTTTTCTGCTTGATTGTTTGTCTGGTTTTAATCCCTGCTTATCTAGACACATAAACCACATTTACACACCATTTCAAAGAGACAATAAAAAAGCTAAGAAGGAAACAAAAAGACCAGAACACGTCCTCTCCAGCAACCAACACTCAGTTATGCAGACACAATACTTGAGCCTGATGTTACACTCACCATCTGTGAGGCCAAACAATGTGCAAAGGTTTCTGCTGATATTTCCAGCTGCCCACCTTGCGATCAAGAGGAGTTGCACATTGGCTATCTTCTCCTTGACAAAGATGCTTTCTCTCTGGCCGCTGGCAACAAAATCCAGACTCTGCTTTGTAATGTCCAGGTCTTTGGTCTAAATTGTTGATATTGAAACCTGCAGTTTCACACCTCTTTTCTTGGAAAGGCATCTCCATAAGCAAAGTTGTATCTCCAATTCCTTTATCATCTAGTGCCTCCTCAGTATGGGACAGTGTGTTTTTTAGCATAAACCTGTTACAAATAAATAAGAAAAATTATACTTCTTGCAAAAGCCATAAATTTTAAGGGCAACTCACAACTTTTGAATACAATGTTTTTAAGAAAAAAATAACAAAATTATAAAAGTTTATGCATCTAATAGCAACTGTTTTGACATAGGGATAATAATGCAGGCAAATGGATA